TACTGACCACAACCACAAAAAACCCAAGAGAAGTGAAGCAGATAATATATTGGTAATCAAGAAGAAACAATAGAAACACTATTCTTCGACCCCACCCCAGAGTCCCGTAAAGTTCATCAAAGTCCATATGAAAAAGAGAAAAAAAAAAGCCGTCTTCAGCAGTGCATTGCCCCACAAACAATATACAAAAAGTCCTGGAGAGGTGTCACCGGCAAAACTGCTTATACCAAGGCTGCTCCACTCAAGGCCATGATATCCACTCTTTCGCGTTGGGATATCCTCAATGGCTCGTATTCTGGGTCCTCCTCAGTGCCTAAAGATAATCCTCTTCATACTTTTTTTCCCCTCACGTGGAGTCGTCTTAGCCTCCTGTACCCGTCTCCTCTTTTTCTTTCTCTCTCTGACTTCCTCATCTTTAGACTGTCCCCTGCCATGACTCCGCCCCTGTTTCTCTCTCTTCTGGGTCTTAAAGTACCCCCCCTCTGGAGCCAGCTCCCCCGCTGACCCCCATAAGCACCCCCGTTCCCCGAAATCCACCCAGGGCNTCTTATCCATAAAGGGCCAGTGTCACGGAGGGGGGGCATGATGCAGGCGGGGAGAGGAAGGTGATGATCCACTGCGGCTCCAAGGGACAACAGGGGTTTATAGGGGAAACCAAAGATACAAAAGGAAACCAGGCAGAGCAGCAGAGAGTAACATGACAACAGCGAATACAGTGACTGACTGGGGGACAGAGCAGGGCAGCCACTCAAATACACAGAAAAGGGGGGCAGGTAAGGAACAGGGGTAAGACAATCAATTAACCTATAAACAGACACTGGCACAAGGAAACGGGCGACAGCTGGAATTAATAACAACTAATAGGCACAGAAACTAAGAAACCAAGACAGAAAACTGAGAAAACAAAGAGAAACTACACTAGAAAGAAAACAAGAAAACAAAGTACAACCAAAGCATGAGGAAGACAAACACAGAACAGGAAACTGACAAAGGAAAACAGAAAACACCAGGGAACAAAACAATACATACAGAATAACAGCTGAGACTGGCCTCAGTCTCGAACCCATGACCACAGGCCCAACGGACTCTAAGCTATGCAGCAGCCCAGGGAAGAGGGAAAACACACAAGGGTGATGGACAGAGAGGGGAAAGACAGGATGAGCAGCACCACCTGTTGGTCAAAGGGGAAAGGACACGGGAGGTGGGATCAGAGGGCACCGACCCTGACAGTATGCAGATGTTTGGGATACCCATTAGGTCAGCTGTTCAAACCCAGGTGTGAGGACTCTAATTAGTAATATAATTAGGGAGTTTCAGTGAAAACCCACATACACAGCAGCCCTTTCTGGGTACCACCCCTGCTGTAGAGTGAAGTCATACTTTCTCTGAATGTTTCTTCTATAATATTTTATAACCTGCTCGTAATTTTTTTACAATCACCCAAAGGCCATTTGAGGAAAAAGCTTTGTGACATTTCTTCTCTGAGGGTGTCTGTTTATAGTAGCTGTGTGATCAGCACGGTTTGTGTGTAGCTGTATGGAACAGAATAAGAATAGAATTCTTTATTGTCATTATATGTACACATAACAAATTTTTTGTTGGTAGGACTCGGCTTCAAGGCAGAATACTTAAATACACAATACAGTATAAATAATAAACAAATAATTATAAAGACAGCAGCAATAAAACATTATCAAGACCAGACTTTTCCTAAGGTAATACGCCTGCAGAGACCAGTGATCTGTGTGTGTGGGTCTGCAGGGGAGGTATATGAGTGTGTGTGTGTTTGATTACAAGGGAAAGTATGTGTGCATGTCTACAGGGGGGGCAGGTTAGGGGTAGATGTATGTGTGTGTATCAGCAAGAGCAGATAGACTTCACAGCTCTGGGGTAGAAGCTGTCTTTCTGTCTTTCAGCTACTGGTACATGTCTTTATGCTCCTGTACCGCTTTCCTGAAGGCAGTGGTACAAACAGTACATTTATAATTATAATTGATACTTTATTGATCCCCGTGGGGAAATTGCTTTTACGCCTCCCTCAACTTGCTCTTTGTAGAGCAAGCTGTCCGCGAATGCTTTCTTGGATGGGTGAGATCTGCAGCTATACGTTTGGCCCTATTCTGCACCCTACCAGCATATACAGAGTCCAGGTCCAGGAGAGGACTTCCCACAATCCCCTGTGCTGTTCTCACCACCTGTGCCAAGTCCTTCCTGTCCTGTGCTGTGCAGTTGCCGTACCACACTGTCATACCGTGACAAAGAATGCTTCCTATAGCAGATCTGTAGAAGTTTGTGAGCAGCCGAGAGGAGAATCAGGCACGTCTCATCTTCCTGAGGAAGAATGGCTTCTTTACCGGATGAGATGCGTTCAAAGACCACATCAGATCCAACGTGATGTGGATACCCAAGAACTCTATATTGTCCACACACATTACAACCTCCTCACGTATAAGTATTGGAGCATGTTCTCTTCTTCTGGACCTCCTATAGTCAACAATGACTTCCCTGGTCTTGCTGATATTAAAGATGAGGTTGCTGACTGACCACCATAGCGATAGGTGTTGTATCTCCTCTCTGAAGTGAGTCTCATCATTGTCTGATATGAGACCCACCACGGTCATGTCGTCTGCATTTGTGGCATGGATGGCAGAGCAATCGTGCGTGAATAACGTAAAGAGTGCTGGGCTGAGCACACAACCCTGTGACGTGCCTGTGTTCAGAACCAGTGTGGCTGATGTACAATCTCCAATTCTAGCCACCTGGGGCCTGTTGTTAAGAAAGTCCCTGATCCAGAGACACAGCGATGTTGACAGACCCAGATTATAAAGCTTTTGCACCAGCTTGTCCGGGTTTTACAGTGTTAAACGCTGAACTAAAATTGACAAATAGGGCGCTGCAGATGAGTCAGGGCTGTGTGAAGTACTATTGAGACGGCATGCTCTGTAGATCTGTTCTTCCTGTAGGCAAACTGATGGTTGTCAAATCCAACAGGGACGGCATCCTTGATGTACTTTAGGAGGATTCTCTCAAAGCACTTCATCATTACTGGGGTAAGAGCCGCAGGGTAGTGATCATTAAGGCAGATGAACGCTGATTTTTTTAGGCACTGGTACAATAATGGAGGATTTGAGGCAGACAGGGACCATTGCAAGTTGTAGAGAATGATTGAAAATGTCCAGAAAGACTCCTGCCAATTGATCAGCACATGTTTTCAATGTCTTACCCAAGACCTTATCTGGTCCTGCAGCTCTATGGGTGTTGATCCACCTCAAGGTGGAACCTCACTTGGTGTAGCTGCAGGACTAGAGGCTGATGCTCCTCCAGCCATAGAAGATGTACAGTCTTCCTGCTGCTAGATGCATCAAAGCGTGCAAAGAAACTGTTCAAGGTGTCAGGGAGACTAGGGTCATAGCTGACCTGCTGATCACTGCGCTTATAATCCGTTATGGTCTTTAAGCCTCTCCACATGTTCTGTGGGTCGTTGTTATCAAAATACTCCTCGATACGCCGTTTGTATCTGTACTTTGCCAGGTTGATTCCCTTTTTTAGTTCTTTCTGGGGTTTGCTATATGCCAGCCTGTCGCCTGACCTATATGCAGCGTCCCGGGCTTTGAGCAGGAACCTCACCTTACTGCCCAGCCACGGTTTCTGATTTGGAAACAACCCTAAAGGTCGGCTATCCTGCACATAGGATAAGACAGATGATGTGTATCCCTCTAGATCTGAGCCCTCTTCTTTGAACACTCCCCAGTCAGTATGCTCAAAACAGTCCTGTAATGCTGAAGATGCCTCCTCAGTCCATACCTGTTCTGTTCTGGTAGTCGGTTTCATCTTGCAGATCATAGGAGTATAGGCTGGGATCAGCTCCACTGCGATGTGGTCCAACATACCCAGATGTGGGGCTGCTACAGCCTTGTATGCTCCTGGGATATTGCAATACACTTGATCCAGAATGATATTGGCTCTAGTTGGAAAGTTAATAACGCTTCGAAATTTGGGAAGCACTGCTTTTAATTCTGCATGATTAAAGTCGCCAGCCACAATCACAGCCACGTCTGGACTGGCATTCATTTGTCTGCTAATCAGGCCGTACAGCTCTTCCAATGCTAATTTAGCATTAGCTCGCTGTGGGATATAAACAGCCACTATCAGGATGGAGGAGAACCTCTTACAATCTTGAATGGTCTGCATTTCACTGCCAGACTGCTCCCCCAACCTGGAGTATATGTTCCAATAATGTTTGTAACTGTACACCAGGATTAATTAATGTACAGCTCCAGCCCTCCACCTTCACATTTAGCGGAAGCTGCAGTCCTGTCTGCCCGGAACAGAACACCGCCCTCTAGCTCCATCCAGCGTCTGGAATGTTATTATTCAGCCAGGACTCGGTAATAATTTCCCTGGCGTTTGTCAGAAAGAGACCGGGAAGAGCCGGTTTCTATGGGTTTGCATGTAGTCTGGCACGTATACCGCTCCTTCTGCCCCGCTTTTGTTTACGATGTCTCCTCCGCCGTCTTCGCCGTCTCGCCCACAGAGAGGAGATCGTAAAAACCTCAATAGTTCGTTGTACCTCTGGTGGGATAAAGTCCAGCCTTGGGGATGCGTGGAGCTCGAAATACTTCCCTATATTAACGAACTCAGCACTTCTGTACTGGATTAATGCTTAGAAGTGATTTAACTAACAGTAAAAACTTATTTGCAAATAAAGCGAAGCCGAGAGCCAAGAGCCACTGTGTGCGTCCGAGCTGCCATCTTGGCATCTTTGCACTTATGAAGAAAAAACTAAATTCCTGAGCGACAATGGTCAGTGTCACTCTGATGTTTTAACTGTTTATTTCTGTTTCAGACACAGAACAGGATTTTTTGTCTCAGCCAGCAAACACACAGAACATCCACCCATCCACCCACCCATCCATCCATCTTCTGCTGCTTATTGGGTCGTTGGGGCAGCAGTCTAAGCAGGAAACACACAGAACAATGCAGGAAAATCACATTCCTACCTTCAAGAAGGAGATTGCCTCAGCATCCATGGCCTTCTGAATATCTCTGATCTTCTCTGACAGGGTGGAGACCTGTTTGGAGATGTTTTCTATCTTCTCCTTCATCCTCTGGCTCTNGATTTTGACTCCTAAAAATTTTGTCACGTCGTGGACAAGAAACATGTCAGACTACACGTTGTTTTCCGACCAGTCATCGCGAGCTGTCTCACACACTCTTTCACTCGCACATACACAAGCTCACTCATATAGCCTACACACACACACTCGCACATACACTCTCTCACATACACGCACTCTCTCTCTCTCACACACACACACACCCACTCCCTCGCTGTATACATTTTGTGGAAAATAATTTATTTTTAGTGTAATTGAACACTGTGTATATTGACCCCCCAAAATAATACCTTGCCACCCCTGTTTTAAAAGTCTAGCTCCGCCACTGGCTGTTGGTGAACTATATAATATTTTAACCAGTTTATGAAAGAGGTTCCAAAACCAAATTTGTGTAATGTTGCAAATAAAAAACTCCAACTAACTCTATCGAATGCTTTTTCTGCATCTAGAGACAATATTGTTAATTTGAAGGTTTTTATTGCACGAATAGTCTATCAGATTGAGTAATCTACGTGTGTTTGTTGATGAGTGCCTCCCTTTTATGAAACCAGTTTGGTCAGGATGAATTATGTGAGGGGTTATCTTCTCTATTCTTTTTGAGAGAGCTTTGCAGATTATTTTAAGGTCAACATTAATAAGTGATATTGGACGATAGCTGGTAGGCAATATAGGGTCTTTGCCTGGTTTTAGCAAGAGACTAATGTTGGCAGAATTCATATTTGGTGGTAGTCTACCATTGCCAGTCTACCATTTTCCTTGGTTTCT